TTGTGATTATTAACAAGTGATTGCTGGAGTATGAGGAAAAAACTAAATAGATCGCTGCACTTGGCTAGCTCCATGGCTAGCTCGCTGTCTCTTACTCTGCAGTTGTGCAGTCACAATATCTGGGATCATGAGCGCCCCCTGCCATGAGGCAAGAGAACTGCCTGCCTCCCCTCAAGTCTGTTCTCTGCCGTTTCTTATCACTCCTCCGCACACAAAACATGATACACACACAGTTAGTGACAAAAAACACTGTACATTATATACATGAGCTAAATTATGGAAATCAGTTCGTATATTAAATGTTTTTATCCATTTCATATCGGAAATGGATATTTCCGATATGAAAATATTGGAAATTCGAGGAGCATCGAATGGCAGCCAGTGCAGTGAGCCAGAGGTTGATCAGTCCAGGTGAGGCTCAGCTCGCTGCTGCCTCACCTGCTGAGCTTCTGAACGCTCAAAATTCAGAGATTTTGAAGAAAAGAATCAAAGTTGGTTAAGCTAAATGAAAAATAAGTACTTTATAGTACAAAGCACAGGGTGCATATAGCAATATAAATGACCTTATCATTATGTTTTTCCATTATGACAGGTGTGGAACCACATGTCACTGCTAATTAAACTTCTGTTCTGACGCCGTTTTCAGTGGATCATTTATGAAGTTCCTTTATGATTGTCAATAAGTCTGATTGTTGATCAGGTTCTCTGTCAGCCATTAGTTCTGCCTGTTTCTCGTCCAATCAGAGGGCTCGATGCCTTTGGCAGGGTGTGGGACCTGAGGACGGGGCGCTGCGTGGTTTTCCTGGAGGGACACCTGAAGGAGATCTACAGCGTTCACTTCAGTCCTAACGGGTCAGCCAATCTCACCACAGTTTGCAGAAATTCAGCCAATCAGAGGAGCGATCAGTCGGTGCATCATCTTTTCCTGGTTGTTCCTGCAGCCATCACCTGGCCACAGGAAGTGGTGACAACACCTGTAAGGTGTGGGAGCTCCGCAACAGGAAGTGCCTGTATACAGTCCCCGCCCACCAGAACCTGCTGTCTGCCGTCCGATTCCAACGTAACAAAAACTAAAGCATTTCTCTTCAGTTTGAGCTCACTTCCTGTCTCTGACATCACTTCCTGTGTTTTTGACCTCACTTCCTCTGCAGCCACTGACGGTCACTTCCTGTTGACCGGAGCTTACGACAACACGGCGAAGATTTGGAGCCACCCGGGCTGGATGCCGCTGAAGACGCTAGCCGGACACGAGGGGAAGGTAGGACTGCCCCGGGCTTTGATTGGGCCATCTGAGCTCTGCGTCCTGATTGGTTGTGTGTTTCCAGGTGATGGGCGTGGACGTGTCACCTGACGGCAAGCTCATCGCCACGTGCTCCTACGACCGAACCTTCAAACTCTGGCTGTCAGAGTGACGCCATCTGTGACGTTTTTTGGTTTTTCTAATAAAGATTTTGAATCCTGATCAATCAGTCTATCATTATTGATCCCAGAGCAAAATGAAATGTAGAGGTCTGTGTTTCAGCGTCCAGCAGAGCTTCTGACTGAAGACACTGTCAGTTGGATGAAGTTCCTGGAACGTTCATTTATGATGATCGCTGCTCCATCGCCTCAAGAGGTTCTAGAGGAGCCATCGGATCAGAACCAGAACCTGGATCAGAACCCCGTCTAGTCTATGGTCTAAAAAACAGAATTGTGGATTTGTTGGACATGTGGAAAGTGAACCAAACGTGATTTTTGTTTTTCTTTATTTTCTGCCATTGGGCTGCATAAACACACAGCTGGTTACTAACTCAGACTTTAATGCGCTGAAGTTTCTCTACTTTAGAACTTGTAACTTCTCCTCAGCTGATCGTAACGGACCGATCTCTGCATCACCGCTGAACGTGATGAAATCTGAGACGGACCGAACAGAACGAGCGCTGAGCAGACCCAGATGCTAGTAATGCACCGCCTGTCCGATTCCAACCAGCAGGGCGATGAGGAAGGCCAGGTTCCCGGTGAGG